GTTGGTGCCATTTCTGGGCCCGCCAGGCCACCGCAGCGTCCCTACTTCTCTGTGGGACAGCTCCACGGAAGGGAAGGGGTTTGGTGTTTGGGGGTTACCAGGGCACGCGCCCTCAAACTTCCCCTTGGCTGTGGTTTCGGTTCTGCCTTCAACCCCAATGCGGGCATGCCCAGGAGAGGCAAAGAGAAACTGCAGGGTGAGGGGAGGCGCCAGGGGACAGCCGGGGAGGAGCAGTGGGTAGGGGACATTGTGGGGGTGAGGCCGGCTCTGGTCACCCCATTGTCCCTCCAGCACTGGACACTGGTGACAATGGGGATGGAGCAGGGGGATGGCCCCCACCATTCCTGTTCCCACGCCCAGGGGGCATCTGGGGAGGGGGACGGGTTCCCCACCAAAGATGGTGGGAAGGAAAGGGGGGTGCCAGGCTGCAGCCCAGCTCCAGGGCCTCTGCTGGGGGTGTTTACGGGAGAGTTGGAGCTCCCCAGCACTGTTCCCACAGCCATGGGCAGCGCGGGACTGCTAGTCACCTCCTCTCTGGGGAGCCAGGGTTAGGCAGGTGGTGCAGGAGGAGCCTGAGCTGTAGGTGCCGGGGCCCAACGCAGCCCCTCTCCCCATGCGGGGCTGAGAGGACAGTGGCCATCTTTCTCCAGTCAGGGCTGAAACCCAAAAGCCATTGTCACCTCCATCAGAGCCGATACATCCCACAAGAAGGGGGATGGGGGCGAGGTACCATCAGCGGGGAGGGGGAGTCAGGGGGACCCAGCTCAGGTCCTCGAGCACCCGTTTTCTCCTAGTGCCGTTTCCTGGGCCTCCCTTTCCCTGCCCTCTCCTCCTGGCTGGGCTCTCCCCAGCCCCAGCCCCAGCCTGTCACGGCAGTTCATGCTCAAGACCTTATTGCGGCTTTCCTCCCTCCTACACATCCCCATCCCCCAGCTCAGAACCTCTGGGGCCCTCCCCGATACGTCTGCACCGGTCCCATTGGTGGAGAGCCACCGCCATGACTGCTGGGCTGGTTTGAAGCGTGGAACCCCATGGGTGCTTCCTCCTCCGACAGTCACTGCTGCTGCTGCTTCAGCCTTGCCGCGTGCACCATGCAGCCCCCTCACCTCCTCTTCTTCCTCTTTCTCCCCCTCCTCCTCCCTGGGATGTGGGCAGACCCAGAGGGTAAGTGGGAGCCCTGGCTCACCCCAATTGCTCTGATCCCGCTGTCAGAGGACCCCACAGGTTCTTCACGGGAGGCACGGCCAGGCCACTGTCCCCTGCATGGCGGGGGATGATCCCCAGCACCAAAGGGCCACCCCCAACACGCAGCACCCAAAGGTGCCCTGTCCCTGCCCACCCTCTCTGCTCCTGCCTCCAGCTCAGGGCTTCATGCCCCACCGGCTCTGGCACAGGGGCTTGGGCACACAAGCAGAATTGGGGCCAGGGGTCCCCAGCCAGGCCTGGGATGTTGGGGTTCCCCCAAAGGTGCCTTCCTCCTGCAGGGAGACCGTGGGTGCCAGGGGCGGGTCTCAGCTCCGTGTGGTGCTGTGGGCCCCTTCCAGCAGCCCCTTGTTTGTTGGGGAGCTGCACCTGCGAGAGGGTGTTTCGGGTGCTGCTGTCGCATAGAGCGTTTCACCACAATCCCGTGAGACCGCACGTTTCCAGGGGATTCGGGGGGGCAGCAGTAGACATTGGAACGTGGGATTGATCTCTGGGCTGGGCTACTCTTCTGACCCTGACAGGGTTTGGTCTCCTTGAGCTCCCAACACCCGGGACGCTCCAAACCTGGACGAAATGCCCTTTCCCCTCCTCCATCCTCCACGTCCTCTGCACCGTGTGCAGGTCTCTGGCAGATCCAGGTCCTGGCACAGCTGCTTCTTCTGGGGGAAGTATCGCCCCAAACAGGCGCTGAGGTGCTCCCACCATCCGCTCGGCACAACCAGATGGCAGGCGCTGGGCAGGAGGGAGGCGGGGAGGGGAGGGGACGAGGTGCCTGAAATCCCGTAGGGGAGAGAAATACTTTGTTGAAAGTAAAATAGAGAAGGAAAAAGAGCAGCGGGGGCAGAGGAAGTTCAGACAGGAAAGCAACCCTGAGCAGGCGAGGAGGTGGGAATCCAGCCAAGACATGGCTGGGGGGTTGCCCAGGCAGGGTCAGGTGCAGGCTGCTGGGGGTCCCGTGGTGTGGGGTGAAGAGCATAGAATCATAGAACAGTTTGAGTTGGAAGGGACCTCTAAAGGTCATCTAGTCCAACCCCCCTGCCATGGGCAGGGACATCTTCAACTAGATGAGGTCGCTCAGAGCCCCGTCCAACCTGGCCTTGAATGTTTCCCGGGATGGGGCATCTACCACCTCTCTGGGCAACCTGTGCCAATGTTCCACCACCCTCATCACAAAAAATTCCTTCCTTTTATCTAGTCTGAATCCCCTGTTTCCCCTCCAGCCCCCCCACTCATCTCCTCTTTCCTGCAGCCCTTCCCATCCCCACCCTCTTTCCCAGCAGAGCCGCAGGTTTTCCAGCTGCTCCAGACCAGCTTCTTGCCCAACGTCAGCTCTGCCGAGGTGTCCTTTGTGGCTTTCTTGGGGGACGTGCCCATCTTTGCACTGGATCCTGCCAGCTGGAACATCCACTTCCACTGGCCCTGGGCCCGCCAGGCCTCAGCCGAGGGTGATGTGGAGAAGCTCAAGTCCGACTCCAAACTCCTTCTGCGCAATATGATCCGATATGTGCATGAAACAGCCCAGCAGGCACAACTGGACTGTGAGTACGGGGACAACCCCAGCCAGAGCCCCAGCCCCTTTCTCCGGGTTCCAGCTGTGCCCTCCTCCCCACCAGGGTGGCATCTGTGGGGTCTCATAGGGTGCAACAGCTCCTGAAAGGGTAATGGGAAACGCTGTGGCTGGCGGGGCACATGGCTAGCAGGGACGGGGAGGGCAGCGCACCAAAAACACCCCTCAGGGCTCCTGCCATCTGGCACAGGGGAACCCCTCTGCACACCAGGGAACTGCCACCAAATTTACCAGGGCTGCAGGACCCACACAGCACAGAGAGAGAGAGTTGGGGGCAAATATTGTGGGGGACAACATTCTGTTTGAGCAACCGCCCCGCGCTAACTGGCCCCGTATCCACTCCGGCCTTCCAAGGGGACTGAGGGCTTGCAGGGTGTCCCAGGGCTTCCTGAAGCATGGCCCCCTGCTGCCCATTGCACCCCGCTGCCCATCACACCCCTGCACGTGCCTCCAGCCACATCCCGCCTCGTGCCACCCATGTCCCTTGGCAGACCCATTCGTGGTCCAGATCCGTGTGGGCTGTGTGCTGCACCCCAATAGGACAAGCTGGGGCTTCATGGATGTCGGGGCGGGCAGCAGAGACCTCATAGCTTTTGAGGTGGAGAGGCAGCGCTGGGAGCCCCGGCAGCCATCCCCGCTAGCAGAGCTGGTCAGCAAGTCCCTCAACAGCAAGAAGGCCATCGCAGGGCTCCTGGAGCACCTCCTTTCCATCTCCTGCCAGAGCTACATCCTCACCCTGTGCAGGTACGGGAGGGCTGATCTGGAGAGACAAGGTGAGACCACCCCAACCCTGGCACGGCCACCCCAAAGACCCACACACACTGCGGCCAAGCCGTGCCCCACCAGGGCTCCCCCCACCCCTTGGCTCTCGCCCCCCAGAGCCGCCCGTGGCCACGGTCTTTGCCCGCACACCCAGACCAGACCAGCTCCTGCTGGTTTGCCGCGTCACCGGCTTCTTACCACCGGCCATCGGGGTGGACTGGCTGGGGGGGGGCCAGG